ACGAAATCCAGAGAAGCGTGGGCTCTGTTCCGAGCAGCTGCAGTTGGATCATATGCCATAACCTTTGAGCAGCCTAGCAGTCGGCATGCAGCTGATTGCAGGCTCTTCTCATTGATTTCAGAAAGTCAGTCCACAATTGTCGGAGTCGTGTTGCTTGCTTGAAGCTGCTGTCTTACTCTTCCTAGCAACCACTTGCTTTGTTCAAGCGCTATGGCGGATGGCGAGGATATCGCCGGACTGTTCGACAATCTAGAATCAGAGGAGCCATCGCCAGACAAGGTTCACAGACCGCGTCACAGCTTTGTCTTTGAAAGCTTTAGCCACGACTACGTGAAGGAGCAGGACAAGGTCATGGTAAACAACAACAACAACTTTGAGTACACTGTGGACCCCCAAGATGAATCCAAGCTCCTGAAAATGACGAAGGAGGAGCAAGAAGCTGACGAGCGGAGGGGCATGCCACTAGACTACCACCGTCAGCTCTCATGTTGTACTACTCGGCATTGGGTCGACCACTTTCATGCGCACTACCGCATAGTCAATGTGTCCAAGCAGAATTTGCTTTGGATGAAGACCGCAGCGGTTCGAGCCAAAGTGTGTGCGGGATTGTCTGCGACCTATGTAGACGATTTAGAGGAGTGCGCCAGGAAGGCGGACTGTGGAGGTGCGTTTGACTTGTGCAATCCGGAAAGCGCGGAGACAGGATATTTTGTACGCACAGACCGAGTGAGTCTCAAAGATGGCATGCATGGAGTTGGCCCATACTTTTCCTTGAAGCAGATCTTGGAATCAGCCGTCACTGCTCGAGGCGGGCATCAAGGAGTGAGCGACCAGACTCAGCAGCTCAAGTTTTATCTCTTTCCCTGGCTGCCGCATCTCGATGGCTTCCGCGAGTTCCGCGTGTTTGTATGCCACAAACGCGTCACGGCCATGTCTCAGCAGTCCCTGTACCGGGTGAATCCCATTCTTGAAGCTGTAGCGGATCTAGACCCGTGCCCTGATGCAGCTTCCTCCTTGCACCCAACCAAGAAGCTGGCGAATCACTACCAATCGAAGATCCTGTCCAATTGGTGCAACTTGCTAGTGCCCTACATTGAGGAGGTTGTAGTGCCTAGGATCAGGGGCGAGGAGGGCGACAGCCACTCAGTTATCCAAAGCTGCTTGTTCGTTGTTGTGTGTTGTGTGTGCGCGTGCGTGCGTGCGTGCGTGCCTGCGTGCCTGCGTGCCTGCGTGCATGCGTGCGTGCGTGCGTGGATGTGTGTGTGTGTGTGTGTGTGTGGGTGCGTGCGTGCGTGCGTGCGTGCGTGCGTGCGTGCGTGCGTGCGTGCGTGCGTGTGCTTGTGCGTGTGTGTGTGTGTGGGTGTGCGTGTGCGTGTGCGTGTGCGTGTGCGTGTGCGTGTGCGTGTGCGTGTGCGTGTGCGTGTGCGTGTGCGTGTGCGTGTGCGTGCGTGTGTGGTTGTTGGCTTGATTGTGTGCTTAATGTTCCATGAGTTGTGTTTTTGTTTGGGGTTGTAGGTTTATGTGCTTGAAGTTGTGTAGTTCTCGAACATAGGTTGTTGTGTTCTTCAATATTGACTTATTGGAGTGTATATATGAATACGTGTTTTGTTAGTTGCCTGGGTGCATGTGTTACTTGTTGTTGGTGTTCTTTTAATTGTCGCGTGAGTGCCTGAGTTTTGCTATATATGTATGCACAGTGTGGTGTATTTGTCGTTTTGATTGTTGTGGTTTGTGTGTGTGTGCGCGGCATGTTCCACGTTTCCAAATGGTGTTGCTGTGCTTGTTGTTTGTTGCTTTGTTTTGTTGATGTTTTGTTGTTTGTTTTGTGTTTGTTGTTTTGTTTGTTTTGTTTGTTTTTTGTGTGCGGGCTTGTTTGCTTGCTTGCTTGTTTGTTTGTTGGTTTGTTTGTTTGTTTGTCTGTTTGTTTGTTTGTCTGTTTGTTTGTTTGTTGTTTGTTTGTTTGTGTTTGTTTGTGTTTGTTTGTTTGCGTGCTTGCGTTCTTGCGTGTTAGTGTGCTTGTTTGGTTGCTCGCTCGATTGCTTGCTTGCTTGCTGGCCCCGGTTTGCTTTTTTTCCCTCGTTTGTTGATGTGATTGTACTTGCTCATCCGGGGTTTCCATCATTGAGATTAAGGACGGGATGAAGCAGAGGCGCCTCTGCAGTGTGGTCTCGAGAGCTTCATCCTGGACATCGTGCTGTTGGGGCCGTCAGCCTGCACTGATGCGTTGACAGCCAAAAGGACAGGTACCTTGCACCTAGGTCTAGGGGGAAAGCCAGGAAAACCAACTGTGAAAATGGGTCCCCCCCATTTTGACACACACACACACCCAGCATAGTTGTTCAAGACTGTTGTGTTTGCCATTAATTTGTAATACCGTGTTTGTTTGAATAATTTGCTCAGATGCGAGTGATCCTTTTTGCCCGGTTGCCACAGGAATTGCATGTTTGGGGGATGTCAATGGGGAAATCCAAGCATGTGTTCATGCAACACACATGGTGTTGTTGGTTGACCTGGTTGGCCAACCCTGGAAGACAGAGTGTGACTGACCTTAGCAGGATCAGACCTGGCGTTGGCACACATGAGCCAAAGTCAACATGTACGCATCTAGTGTCTATGTGTATGATATGTGACCCTGTAATCCACTGATGTAGGTGCTCTCTAGAAATCACAAGTGTTGAATGAACTGATATGAAAGCGAAGTTGCCACACGCCTATGTCAAATTGAACACGGCACGGTGAGCCATTAATGAGCCTTGGGAGCTGCAACGGACAAAGCACCGGATGTTTGATTGTCGATTGGGTGCTATCGGTTCTGCACGTTGCGTCTCAGCAGTGGTCGTAACAAAGGGACATGCCGGGGATCATACTTCAGCTCAGCGGGACATGGACCGATTGACCAAGCCGCAGGATCATTGATGCTCACGAGAAGGGCGATGTGTCAGACAGCAAGCAAATGCCGGACCTTTTCGCGCCAGAGCTCTTGACGCCGCACTTCATTGAGATCAATCCGTTTGGGTATAACCAATCCAGTGGCTCGTCACTCTTCTCTTGGACGCACGAATACAGCACCCTGTACGGCCTTCAGAATGGAGCGGGATCCGGATCGCGGCTCATTCCTGTGAGGTTCACTCGCTCTTAGGTGTCGCGGCAAGACTTGTTGTGCATGGACTCATGTATCTTGCTGCTAGACACGTGTCGGCGGAGTTTCCAAGTACTCCCTACCGCTTACAAGGCTCTTAAATATTTGCTTAGCCCCAGCCTGTGGTACTGAAACATCTCCCCAACTATACATTGCAGAGCAACAACTGTTGCAGCCCTAGAAGAAACATGGTGGCGAGCCCTTGGGCTTGCGGGGGGTCGTTTTGACTGGTGTGCCGCATGAGAGTGCGCAATGCATCTTATCGATCTCTGCAAGAGATGTCATGTACAGGCTTGATCTGTCTCTGCGCAAGCTGATTTCCCATGAAACATGGCATGTTTAGGTTTGCAGCGCGTGTACAGTGCACAGGTCGGCTGGAAAAGGCAGAGATGTCGGGTGGGAGTCTTCCCTGTGCCATGTACGTACAGTGTTTCTTAAGATGAGGATGAGGGAACATGATCTTCCGAAGCCAGGCCTGTAGAGTCCAGGCTATGATGAATGGAAAGGGCCAGTAGCGGCCGTAAATCACGAGACATTGGGACACCAGCTCTTTTGTCCATACTGATGGAACTAGAGTTTCTTCCTTCTTTGGTAGCCCTTTGGTGTGTCTGACCCAGGAAGGGCCAGATCAATGAACGCAAAAAAATAAACTCCGATAACATAGACCTTCCTACGGGTCATGGCCATTGCCCAAGAAAACCCATGGTTGCGGGCCAAAGCGTGTTCCTCGCATACAAGTGTTCACATAACCCTTCTAAGATTGCAAAGAGTTTGTTTTTGGTTCCAAGATCCTTTCCTGAGTGTGAGCCTTTGGTGTCCTCGATCTGGGCCAAACGTCGTTTCCTCTAGGGTCGCAGTGATAGCCATGAGACTTCCGAGCACGACTGATCAGTCACGTGTCGTCCCAAGTCACAGTTTGAAGTTCTAAGAGTTCATCCCAGTGATGGCCCCATGTTGGGTGTGGCTATCTTTTTTCGTGGCCCGTGTTGGATACTTGTAAAGGGACGCGCATGTTGGATACAAAGCCCATTTGGGACTTTTCCCATGTGGCTGTGGGTCAACGGGCTCCCAAGTGATTCGGAGCATGTTCAAATGGCTGTGGGTCAAAAGCAGGGAACAACATGGAAGTCTGGTAAATGGAACCATGGACTAAAATATGCGGCCCCCTGGTGCTTTAGTTTAGCGGCCCATGCCCATGTCGAGAATGCCCTTCCAGGCCGGCCGGTTTGCTCACTGCGCCTTGGAAGGGGATGGAATTCCAAGCGAAGGGCGGGTATGCCAAGTCTATGGTGTGTGCGTCCCTTTTTGGGGGTCTCCCCCCCCGCCCCAAAACAAGTGGGGTTGCTTTCCTCTCCTAAAAAACCACCAAAGTTGTGTGCCCTCAAAAAAAGACGAGCCACCCCCATGTGTGTGTGTGTGTGCTCATAATCTGCCTGGGGGTTCGAGCTCACCCGTTTGCCTCGAAATGCAGGCCTCTGATTTCATGTTTTCGGGTTGTAGACAAATGCAGATATGCCGTGGTAAGCGGTATGCCAATAATTTTCCTATAGCAGCACAGCATGTTACTTTTTGTCCATCACTTTTTTGTGAATCCGACACGTGGCGGCGCAAAGCCGTCACTGTTTCATTGTCTTTGCCCGAATAGGCGAGACCGACTGCGCAGTGATTCCATGAGATCCGACTTCGATGGAATCAACATCAAGCAAGGGTTGCTCCGAGCCTCCAAAAATAGCCAAAGCCTAAATTGGCGTGGTTTCCTTTCGATTTCCACCAAAGCAAAGCCAGCAATCTTCCTTGAAGTGCTTGTATATGCGTGTGTCTTAGAATAGGGGAACCGCCCAAATAGTGGCTTTCATTTTGGTGTTGCTTTAAACCCACCCCAAGAAAGGCAACCCCCCCCACCCCACCCCATCCCCCCCCGCCACCCCGTCCCACCGTCCCCCCCCCCTCGAAAAAAGAAAACACACCATCCCAGCCACCCGGGGGTTGCCCACGCCGAGATCCGCGATCCGAGGACCAACCGACCTTGCCATCAGACCCAGTGCTGTGCCATGCGCCACGACCGGTGCTTCCAGCCTGGGACCCAGTGCTGTCGTTTTTCGCGCGGCACGCCTCTCACCCCACAGCGAATCGACCGGAGACCTGTTGTTGTCCGTTTTGTGTGTGTGTGTGTGTTTTCCATTGTTTGCATCTGTTGACCCTTCGGTTGACCTTCAACCATTTGTTTTACCTCTGGATCCGTTGGACTGAGTTAGTGAGTTCTTCCCTGATTTATGTTGCCGAAGTGACCCTCCCCTCCTCGTTAAAACAACAAATATCTTTCAGGGGTCTATAGTTGCTATGTTTGTGGGAGTATGTTTAGTTTGTAATCTGGTTGCCGATTGTTTTGGTGAGTAAGTTAGCCTTCCAGAACAAGGGGCAACACACGAGGGCGACGATGTTTATCAAATCCTGGGGGTCATTCCAAAGCGGACTAGCTCTGTATACCCCCGTGGATGCCTGGACTTGCTTGGTCGGACGGAGGCTTGGCTATTCGATTCTTGCCCCTTCGGTTTCGGCTAGTTAGCCAGCATTGCTACCTAGGGCTAAATACAGGCAGTCTAGAGATGATCCTTTCATTCGGGATGGCTTTTGTTGGTTGCACCGAAGCTGGATCCCATGCGTGTTCCATGAAAGACAAAAATCCAAGGAGTAGAAGCGATGATGGATTCGCAGGATATTGGAGCCAAAGCTCCTGTTTCATTTTTGGTATGGACCAGAAGTCCTTAATTACCTTCACTCTGCGGGGGTTATGAAAGTCAAAACAGGCAGATGCTGTGGGTCAAAAGGCAACCCCAGACATGCGACTTTGACCTTGCAAGATATGTGGCGTTTAATGGGGAATTGTAGAGCCCCAAATATAGCACCGTTCCCTTTGGCACTCTCTCGCCAGCCACACGCACGCATGCACGGATGCACAGCGCGCATGCAAGCCCGGTCGCCTTGAGGTGGGAGATTGAGGGCTACCCGCAAGAGCTCGAGAGGGTCCGAGAACTCGAGAAGGCCTTGTCTCGCGTCGCGTGGGATGTGGGGACAACTTAGGGCTGACAGGATGTGTGCGACTTGAGTTGGCTTCAGGGCCCACAGGCTGTGGTCAGAATCCCGCGCAGGAACCTCTTGTTGGTGCTGAAAAGATGCAGCTGCACAAGTTTCAGAGTCCAAAACAGCTTGTCCTGCCAAAGACTCAGACATTCCTGGTCCCATGCGCGCAGTGAGTGAATCGTCTTTCTAAGCATTCGACGAGGTTGAAAGTGCCCCTTGGCTGGATTTCAACTTTGCCTGAACTTTTTGCAGGCAAAGTTCAAGGTCGCAGACGCTGACAACAACGGCAAGCTGGAGGGCGAGGCTGCATGTTGGGTCAAGTTGTGCAGGTGTATGATTTGCAGGTATTTGCTTGCGCCGCTGTGTTGACGTGACACATGAGAAGTCATGTCGGTTTAGGGAGATTTGTCTGGAGTTCAGCCACGGGTTCAGTGGGTTCCATGTTTCAGGCTTGCAAAAGAAACTTTATAGATTCATCCCTTTGTCACATGTGATTTTGAGCATGGCCATATTGCCAAGCAATGAGACTACGATGTTGTGGGTGTGTTTCCCAACAGGCCCAAAAGATATGTGATTTCCCTTTTAATTCCGTTTAAACAACCCTGAAAGGTGTACCCTCAAAACAGACAGACCCCTTGTCGGTTCTTCAAGGCAAGAAAGAAAGGAGCACCCAACAAGACGGCGTTCCTGTTTGCACTCTGCTCTTGCGTCAGCAGTGGGACCTTCGATTCCCCAGATCGAAGGGAAGGTCTGCCTTCCGTTGCCAAGTAGTCTCACAAAGAGATTTTGGCCTCATTATTTTTTGAACTTGACCCATCCTGGAAACGGCATCACAATTGTGGGCCCCAGAATCCTAACGCGTGGTTCAGCAATCTGTGAACCCTCATGCATGTCTGCGGTTTGAGTTTTGAACATGTAACATCACTTGTTGCTTGCCCCCATTGCGCGGTGACGTTTCATTTGGTTGGACATCTAGTTGGACCCCTGCTGAATTTGTCTCCAACTGGGGGAACAAAGGTCGGTTGTGCCCTGGGGTTGGCTTGGGGTGTGGTTGGGGTTTGTTTGGGGGTTGTTTGGCGTTTGGTTGGGGGTTGTTGGGTTAGTTTGGGGAGTTGTTTGGGGTCTTGTTCAGGGATTGTTTGGGGGTGGTTTGCGGTTTGTTTGGGGTTGGTGTGGGGTGTGTTGGGGTGTGTTTGGGGTTTGAGGGGGCTTGTTCAGGGTTTGTCTGGGGTTGGTCTAGACAGGAGCTCATCAACATGTACGGCCATGGAATCAATGAAAAGGCGAGGCAGCGCTTTGCGCGGGAAGGGCCATGGGGCTGTGCATCAGAGTGGCACAGTGAGTGCGACTACAAGGGTGATCGCATGTTCCCTGGACTGGATGAAAAAACATGAAGCTGCGACCCGTGTCGAAGCAAAGGTGTTAGAATCTGTGTTTGGACCGAGACGCCGCGGCGCATTCCGCAGTCAGCGTGGCGAAGTCAGATCTGTGTTTGAAGGCTTCAAAGGGTATGTAATGTGCAATGGATCCAGCTTGTGAATTACACTCTAAGGTCCTTCTTACATACCTGAACTAAGTGAATTGTACAACCATCATGATGTGAGGGGTTTGTCCCCGTACAACCACTCAAAACCCATTTGTAACCTGATTTGGGTATGTCTGTTTAGAGATGTATGCTTCCACGAGCTTGCCTGCGGTGAACCACGCGCATTTATGTTTGATCTTGTTGCCGGAATCAAGAGGCTTTATTTTTGGGATCCTAAACGGGTTCTAATAAACGGGTTCTGATCGCTTGCACCAAAGGACAAGCATGTGTGTGGCATCCTAGCCATTAGAACCCAAATGTTGGGGGGTCCCAGTTTGGTTGAAAGCGGATCCTCGTATCTGTCATACTCAAGCGGGTCCCTCTCGCCGGGTTTTTCAACGGCCCCTCCAGTCCGCTGCGTTGAGCGCAGGTCTTGGAGGTTGAGGCAAAGGATGCTCTGAAGAGTAAGGACCTGGACAAGGACAGGGGAGCCAAACGCATTCGCTTCGGCAATCGCTTCGTGGAGCTAAACGGAAAGACGTGAAAACGCGCGTCGCAGGGTTTCCAATTTCAGTGTTCTTTGGAGTTTAAGGAAGCCAGTGTCTAAAAAGTCAAGATTCAACACCGAGGAGAGATAGCAGTTTGGTAGGAACGAATTCAGACGAAATGCCATCCAGACACAAATGCGGCAAGACTCAACCTATTGTGCTTGACGGACAATCATGAGTGTGGCAAGATAGTATCGGTTTTCCGATGCCAGCCTTGCAATCGTTTGGGTTTCCTAAGTACACTGTGGCAGCCTAAGCTTGCCAGTAAGAGGATGTCTTGTGAGTCTGTGTGAAACTTCTGAATCGACCACTCGGGGTTTCTGCGCATCCGGTTCAAGGCCGGAGCTTGCATTGGGCAAAGAGTTGCATGTTCGAGCCGCACAGGATGGGAAGCTGAATCTGAAGGCGGGAGCTGAGGTTTGGGGGGGTCTCTTGATCTGCGGCGTGCGAACGATGGCGCGCATGACTTGTTTCCGACTGAGTTGCATTGAGCGGCCAAAGAACAATAGGCAGACACAGACAAACGAAAACGGACATCGCTGAAAAATGACAAGACCGTGGAGCCACGAAAGCAGATTGACAAAGACTCATGTTTCCTTTGAATCGTCTCAGGCCGGCACAGGCACATGTACATACAGACACACACACACACACGTACGCACACACAAACACACACAAATTTCATGGGTTGCTACATACTTCATCATTCGGTACTTCCTGGGGCCCTTCCATTGCACTGGTGGGCTGACTAGATTGCCTGAAAGAGCCAAGAGCAGGAAGGCGAGCCATCAAACACATGGCCGCGGCTCTTGTTTCTGTTCTGCCGACTCAATGATTGGGTTTGCAACACATGCCGGGCAATTGCCTCGTCAGAACTTGCAGAATAGCACATTCTGGCTGAGCTCGCGAGCAGGCACCGTGCCCACCACATAGCTAGATGTTTGAAATCAGGCACCCCATCGGACCCATTTACGAAGTTGGCTGATTTGGAAAGCTGGCTTAGCTTCTGTTGGAACGTAACGAAATTCACTTGGGTGACATACACCGACAGAAATTTTGGCCTGGCTCCCAATCAAAGTTCAGTGGCAGGAGTTCTTCTACGATTACCTGAGACCAGAAGAGGATGATGATCACGATGAGGACCCCCGGGATAAGAACGTCACCTTCACCAACCTCGATGGCGCCTTGAAAAGAAGGCCGAGAAGTTTTATGAAGAGCTACGTGTGAGGTGCACAACAAGAGGTAGAACCATGGGGCCTTTCTCGCCACAAATGCTAGAATCCTAGAAGCATTTGATGTGAGTGCTGTGTGGGGCTGTGTTCAGTTGAGACATTGAAGGGAGGCGAATGAAGCCTTGAACCACGCATACATATCCTTCCATTTACTGAAAAACGAACCTGCCGGGAGGGCTCCCTCAAGCGGCCCGGTGGGTTCCATGTTTGACGGGAGTGTAATGTCACGGACTTTACAGATTCGACATCTCTGACAGTGTCCAAACTGATGGAGCTCAGAGGTAGCCGGATCCCTTAGACACCAAGGGGATGCCCCGAGAGCTCCAAACTTACCCATGGATTTCTTTGGGATTCCAACTTTTTGTGAAGAGAAGTGGCTTTGGGAGATTCACTCTTGGCGGAACGGTTGCCCCTCAAAAGATGGGCGCAGAAATCGGGGCAACTCCTCGCCGAGGCAATGGCGACGGGCTCATAGACCTGCAGGAGCTGATGATTTGGGAGGGCGGCTTCTACTTCATGGAGGAGGCAGTTGACAAGGCGGACGGTTGGACCGGGAACCTCCATGGAGAGCCTGCCTCCGAGCTTGGAACATCAGAATGATGTTTCTCGGAAGTTAGGCATCTCTTGTTCGTTGGTGCATGATCTGCGGTTGAAAGGGAGACAAATGAAATGGAAACCAATATAAACCAATCATTTGCGAATGTTTTCCTTTTGTTTGCGCTCACTGGAACAAAGGTTCCGCTCTGGGACCGAGGTCTTTAGAAGCTCGTCTTATCTCTGATTGAAGATGCCTTGGAGAATGCTGATCACTCCCATGAAGAGTGGACAACCTGGCAAGAGAGCCATGAACATCTGTGTTGGGGCGGGGAAGGAATATTTGCTATCTCAACGCTGCAACACCATCTACTTCTATCGGTATGTCGGTGTTTTCACTGGGGATGGGGGGGGTTGTTTCCGCCTGGTGATTGGGTATGTCTGACTGTTCAGTCGAGCACATTCATTGGTCACAAGGCTACTTTGGATAGTTTGGGGCTGTCAACCCAATGTGAGTGTCGTTTCTCTTACAGTCATTGCCTATCTTGACTTTGTCTTATTGAAATGCGAGCTGTGATAGAATCAGTCCAGGTTGGAAAAGGGCCAACAGTGACCCAGAGGTGATTGTCGAATGGCTGTAGGACTACATCTGCTGAGTGGCTTTTTGCAGCAGCTTTTGACACAGCTGCAGCTGCTGACGTCTTAAGAAGAAGCGAAAGGGGCGGATAAGCACAGGGGCGGGACATTCATGCTTTGCATAGGTCTTCTGTAGGTCCATTGTAGGTCCCATCTTTCTCTTGCAGATCCTTTGCAGATTGCGGAGAATCCTTCGTTCATCCCAACACTGGGAGCCTGTTTGTGTTGTGATTCCGACCCCGAGTTGCGCCTCCATCCCCTTTGTGTTGCTAGCTCAGAGGAAGGAGGTCTTCAAAGCACCACAAGTTTCAATGTCTTCGTCGCGAGCGCCGTAGACAGCCTTCCATGTGAGACGAATCACCATCATTCGGAACTTGCATGCGCGGGTCTGCCAAGGATCACCATGAATTACCAGCCTGGCTACCAAACGGATTTTGTTTGCCCTATGGAAAGGCGGAACTGCCTGGGGAGGGAAGGGCCCCGGACTTCGATTCAGATTCTCCTGCTGGCGGACAAGGACGGCGACCACCAGGCGACCTTTCAGGAGGGATGCGGTTGAGGGGGCGGCCAGAAATTTAAACGGCACCAACAAAAAAACGTGCCAAGCACTGCCAGACATGTGGCAAACTACTTTGACACGTTGCCTTTTTTGGGGTCCATAATTGCTTCCCTTTGGTGCAGTGACTGATGAATGCCCCCAAAGATATGATGTGCAGCAATATGCTGCCCAGACCAAGCATAAGCTTGAGTTGGATCAACCTCCATGAGCCATGCTCACAAAGCTTTGCGATCCTCTCCGTGGACGAGGCTAGGCATAACAAACTGCCTGGTTGGGGAGCTTGAAAGGACTCCAGGCCTCACACAATGAGGTTTGTCCCTTCGCCCAGTGCCAACAGACTTTTTGTCGATTGCCTGAGAGGAGCTGGCAGATGCATGGCATGACATTGAGGAGACAGGCGGGCTGGGGGGTTCCGGGAATTTGTCACGGGGCACATCCCTTGCCAACACGGCTGTTTGCTGCTTTGTCTGGGCTCATGAGCTGCAGTGTCGTCGAAAGCTTAGCGTATTTGCAACGTATAGCCACATAGCGATGCCATTTCAAGGTTTCTCACACCTCGGGTAGTTCTCTGGATACTTGGTGCCGAACATACTTTACACAACTGTGCCGCTTCAAAGTCGAGTTCTTGATTGGTGGGAAGCCTTTCAATGTCACTCTCTCGGTAGTTGCGGATCAGGCTTTGAGAGTCGTAAGGCAGTGATGAAAGAGGCCTCTTGAGGGGATCGTTTGTCCCTGAAGCTAAGCGTGACAACTGGCCCATCTTGCACTAGTTAGGGAAACGCTCAGTCGATGTTCACTGAGTTGATACAATGCAGTGCTTGATTCGGCTGGAATCCTGGCGTTTGTGAAACATGTGCTCACACCTTGTGTGAAAGCTTGCTCTGCATCAAGATCCTGCAGCAACAAGCTTCGACCTTTCTAGCGTTTTGTCCACCGCGTTTCGTGACCGGGGCGTCGCCTTTGGTGCGATTGGTGTGTGGCTGAAAAATGTGGATCCCATGACCCGGTGATTTGAGAGCACGGAGCGCCAGCCAAAAAGGAAGACACCAGGAAGGTGTGGCGTCACAAAGCTGGCCGATGGATCTCTTTTTGGGGTTCCTCGCTGACAGGCGCCCAGCTGCCGCTGAGGGGCATCATCATCCGGGCATTGGGCGAGCACGAGGCGCGGGGACTGGCGAGCACCTCCGGCGAAAATGTCTGCCGCTTTCAAAAAAGGCGAGGGAGACCAGAACGCTAGGATATTGCTTGCACTATTGAATTGCTAATGCCAACCAACTGATCATGGCTTGCGTGACTATCAAAGATCTTCTTTCCCGGAGTGTTCTTGAATGGGACTCGCTTTTGCCCAGGGCTTCAAGGAAAACCACGAGAAAACATCAGCATCTTTGAGGGGTCCCGGCGTTTTGGAAGACCGACCGTCGCGCTGATGTTGAGATTCCAAGATCTGCTTGAAAGCTCGGTCTCCAGCCTGCCAGTCACACACTTTACAGCCGGTGGTGTGTGCGTCCACGGGTAGATCCCGATTTTTTGTCTGTGTGGGACGACGAGCGACAACTTGTCAGCAAGCGAGACAAGGCAAGCTTTGTTCCTGTGTGCTGGTTCTGCGTTCAGGCCTTTGAACACAACAAGCAGGTGATGCCCCGGTTCTAGAATAGCTTGCCAACGACTTAGCTGCTATGTTTACCATGTGTTCCAGATCAGTCGCACGCTCAACTCGGATGGGTCGACGCCAGTCTTTTAGCAAGCCTGCGATTTCTTAATAAGACTACGAAGTCTGCTACGGTTGCCACAATGGTTGCCACAATGGTTGCCACAATGGTTGCCACAATGGTTGCCCCACTGGTGCTGAACGCAGCCATGGCAAACGACTCGGAAATGGCGAGACCTGCTTTCAAAAGCGAGTACACTTGCCTGTGATTTCACAGCAGCCCCATTCCGGACCCGAACTTGGCCGTGTTTGCTGCTGGGGGGTAGTGCTTCACAAAGTTTGGGGGAGTGAGTAGGTTGGATTGTCTCTTCTTGGATCTCCTTAGTAGAGGTTGGCTGCTTGGGGTTCCTTTATAAATGGCGCACATGTCGGCCTCCATCTCAGGGCGAAGGCCGCGCATCAGAGCTGTGAGCTGGAAAGTCCGGTGCCGACTCGGCATCCGAAAAGGGGCGGAGCCGGTAGCGACCACATCCCCGAAACGTGTTGATATAGCAAAAATTGAAACTGCTTGTTGGCAGTTTTCTTCAGTTTAGTCCGGGCTCAAGCTTGATCTTGGTTTGGCCAGTCAACTCAGCAGGTCACAAGTTGACGACTGAGTTCTATGTCAATTTTCATGTGACGTTCCCCTCCGAGTTTCGAACGAATGCAAGTGAACCAACCACATTGGAACAAATGCCGGGCTTTGGTACGGCAGTCAATCTCAGTGTCGGCGGGTTTGGCTATTGGCTCTGGAAGTGATGTATCCGCGGCAAGCAGTTCCCGCTTTATGCAGACCTTTTCTTCGGGTAGGCAGCTAGGCCTACTTCGAAGCCTTGGGTCCAGAGCCATTTGACTTTCCATTTGCATCCGAGTCGCTGAGCCTCGGCAAAATGGTTTTGGCCTGGGTGTGGACCAAAGATGCCACTCTCCCGCGCGCAGCTGCACTGGACCGGCTTTCGAGCAGACGAGAAAGCCATTCAAAAGCGCAGCCAAGAGCATGTTGCTCCCAAGGGGGCCAACGATGGGGCTACATACATTCCCAATTGTGTGGATTTCTGAATCCGTATGGTTTGGATTTGAAGGCCATTGGTTTCTCGTGTTTTGTTGTTGAGGGGGGGATTGGCTTTGTTTTCTTTGGGCTGGCGGTTGCTGTTATTTGCAGGTTTCTATGGCTTTTGGCGGCTTTCTGGCTTTGTTTTATTTTTTTCACATCACCATCAGACCACCGAGTCGTTGTTCCATTGGTGTCCTTGTATTTGATCACAATACACGTTCGCTGCCAGGACACTCCATTGTTATCCCTGAGGCTGTGCTGAAAGTCGCAGGGCCGAGCCTTGACAATAGCCCCGGTTTCCCACTGGTGACTGCCCATTCTAAGTGAAGTTGCCAAGGCTGTGTTCTGTTCCAAGGTGGGTATGAACATTGACATGAACCCTACGGAAAACATGTCCACCAAAGGGTCCGCAAATGCAGCTGATTCCCAGACAATGCCGCTTTTTCTCCAGTGGTGAAATTGAAACCGCATGTAAGGACTACGGGACGGTGGTCGTCAGGATCTTCAACCCCCATCAGCAGAAACTGCACCCCTCAGTTTCATGGTTTCAAACCAAGGAGTCCCAGTTTTCCCAGTTTTTGCTACAGCCATGGGCCATGAACGACGCGAAAGCAAGCCCGGACCGAATCGAGGCTTCCTGGACGGAGTGAAGATTACCAAGGTCCGAGGCTGGGTAGTTTGGGAGCCGGTCTGGGGCGCTGCCACGATGTTTGCAAAACTGATCCCGGTCAAAACTTGGGTGGTTGAAGGTTTGCGGGGGACCTGCCAAAGCTTGCTGCAGCCGCCTGTCAATTCTTTGCATTTGTGTGGGGCGGGGAGACCACGTTAGCAGGACAGATGGGGTCAATGCGTCAACTGGCCATGGGTCAAAAGCCCGTAACCTCAGTGAACATCCCAATCCCCACTAGAATAGCCTAAAATGGGTGGTGCACCTTCCGCAAATGGAACTATTGGTTTTGACCCACAGCCAATTGACAAAACGGACCACCTCTCGCAATGCTTCTTGATATGCTTTGCCGCAATTGGACTGAAGGGCTGCTGTTTCATGCAATGGTGTTTGCCATGTGTCCTAGGCAGTTCAAGCTTGGAATCGTCCTTGATGGTTACCACCTTCAACCCGCAACTAGTTACGAGAGTGAATGTTCTATTTATGCTTTCAAGGCATGATGCTGTCCAAGCTGATTTCCAGAACGGCCCATGAATCAAGTTGAGAGAGAGCGAGAGAGAGCGGGAGGGGGGGGGAGCAGAGATAACCACACCCGACACAGAGACGCACAGGCATCCACGCACACACGCACACACACAACACACGCACACACACGCAAACAAAAAGCACAAAAACAAGCACGCAAACACGAGAGCCACGCACGGAACAAAAACACGCCACATTGTGGAATTCATCAGAGCTCAGCAAGCTCCGGAGTTGGGGTCTCTGTTGGTTTCAGACATGCCATATGATTGTCCAGCACAAACAAATAGTCGGTCCCCAAAAAAGCAAAGAAGCATTAGATATGGGTGTTTCTCAAAAAGCCAATCTGTCTTTTAAAATAACAGAATCGGGTTTGACCATTGGTTGGTTTCTATCAGAGAAACTCACACGGGTTTCCTGGGGCCAGGCGAGGCGATGCAGGCCGCCGCGGATGCGGCGGCCTCGGGCATGGTCAGCGTGGTAGGCGCGACCGACGGGAAGCGAAGCTGCGTTGGATTAGGCACGGTAGCTACAAGTCTCCCAGGTCCCCCAGGTCTGCATCGGGGATCCGCCGAATTTCTCGATTGACATTTAGCACTTTGAACTTCAAAGCTAAAATGCATGCCTAAACGGCGTTCACGGTGGTGGTTTCCATCAAGTATGCCATTCTTCAGGGTTGACTCAGCCATAGACGAGTACATTCGGCCCTAAAAAAACTGAAGACAGGCACACACGGTCTGCCTTGGCTGGTTGTCTCGTTTTAGCAAGGGTTGTCGTTTGGAATGGCTGATCTTGTTTGGGCTGCGCACGCTGTGCGTTTGTTCCAAAGCTCGCGGGGCTCACTTGGGCTATCCGGACACGGGCGTACACCCATCGATATAGCCATATTCAAAGTGGTTAAAAGCGAAACAACCTTGTTGGTCCTGTGATTCCCAGTTTCAATCAGGTTTTATCATCTTCAGAAGGCTCAAGTTAAGCCTGAAAGATCGAACGTCATCCAGGCCTTGTGATGTCCTGTTTCCCAATGTTTTGCACGCCAACTAGCAAAGCAGATGCTCGAAGTTGCCCAGCACGAACGCTGACTAGGGGGTAGGGGTAAGGGGCAATGGGAGCCAACATGAAACCAGCCACCTGGAGGGGTCGTTTCCCACTTGTGACTTGTGTGTTCTCCGCAGCCATCAAATTGAAAGTATACATTTGCATATATATATATATACATATATATATATGTTATATATACATATATATGTGGTGCAGCAATATTATATATATACACATACGTTCACACATGTTCTGCTAAGAATCATTATTTGCATGCACATTTCAGTGCACCAACAAGTTGCATGGCGCTGCCACCGGCACCACTCGACTCGAGAGGCTTAGATAGCGAGAAGACGGAGCAGCTCTGCGCCACGGCCTCCGAGCTCTCGGGAAAGAGGCCCGGGGCGGCGGCTTCGGCGCGCGGGCGGCTTGCGCGCGGCCTCGATGGGATCTGTGAGGCAAATTGGGCAAGCGGACTCAGAAAGGGATCTGGCGCTGGCCGAAGCAAACCAACCAAATCATTGATGAAGGTGAATTTCTTGTGGGTCCGCTGGTTTTGATGCTGGCAAGTCATGACTGATAGGTCGCCCAGGTTAGTGGTCTTGCATGATTTGGAGGACAAATAGCTGATCAACGCGGCAATTCAGAATCAAAAGGTGAGGTCCAACATTGTTGAGCAGCGTGAGTGTGAGTGTGGCCTCGTGTCCAGCGGGATTTTACAAGGGCCTGCTGTGTGCGAACATGGCTGATTGAAAGTGGGTCAGAAAGAACTATAGATAAGTTGGTGTGCAGGAAAGCACGATGTTCAGGATTGCATCCTGGCACGATGTTTGTTTCTTGTTTTCGTTTGTCCGTGAGGGTGTCCATGATTGATCACTTCCGAAGAGACCAGGAACTGCGTCAGGGATGGCAACCAGGGCTTTTTGTTGTGCGCCACAGGGTGCAGATCGCGAACTACCTGTGCAAGGGCAACTACACCGCCTGCGCCTCGGGTTTCCCACATCGGTGTCCTTTCTTGACGGTACCCCTGTTTGCGGTGTTCAAGGGACGCCAAAAAGGAAGACCGTTGTGCCGTTTTGGGGGGGGGGACGATTCCTAAAAGGACGAGCCACCCAAGCTAAGTTTCCCTTGGCCCCAGGTCTCCGGTGACAAGGAGGCCTGTGCCAAGCTGGCGGAGATCGCAAAGCCCGAGTTCAAGGCAGGAGATGTAGCTCAGCGTGCCCCAACAGTTTTGAATTTGGATCTTTGGTTTTCTCTTGTTGTGTTCCCAGAGTGGTTCTGCCTGTTTGTGTACAAACACAACACCTCGATGGTGTTTTGGTTTTGACAATGAGCAAACGCCAAAACAAGGCCTTGAGAAAACCAAGCAACCAAACAACAAAGCCCTAAGGACAAGGTGTTTGTTTTGTCAAAAAGTGTTTTTTGGTTTTCCCTCAAGTTCCTTTCGTTGTTTGGTTTTCCCACAGTTTTTTGTTTGTTTTCAGAACAGAACACAAAACATCTTGATACATTTGTAGAAATTCGCGAAAGCCAAAAACACCTAATCAAATTATATGTTTGATTTTAGAATAGAATTCAACGCCTGGTTTTCAAGTCTTGACTGAAGCTGTGATAAAGCTCCTTTAGACACTCCTTGTAGCACTTCTTATTAGGCTCGTTGTAACACTCCGCATAAGGCTCGTCGTCAAGCTCCTACTAAGGCTCCTTGTAAAGCTGCTTCTAGCCCTCTTTTGTGAAACGGCTCCTCAATGTAAAGGCTCCTTCATGAAAAAGGCTCCTCCTTGTACAAAAAGGCTGCTTGCAAAGCTCCCGTTGAAGCTCACATGTAAAGCTGCGTATAAGCCTCCTCAAAGACTCTTCATAAAAACAAGCTCCTTATAAAGCTCCCTGCAAAGCTTAGCATAAAGCTCCTCAAATGACTCCTTACAGAAATCCGCATCAAGCTCTGTTGAAGGCTCCTTAAAAGCTCCTTGTACAATTCCTTGTAAAGAAGCTTATAAAGCTTCTTTCAAGCTTATTATAAACCTCCTTTTAACCCTCCTTGAAAACCTGTGTATAAGACTCCTTACAAAGCTGATGTTAAAGGTTGCTTATTAGGATTATTAATCCAAATTTGGTTCTGATTGATTTTTAGAATGTTGATGGAATTTGAAATGCAGAGAAGTCCATTAGAAGTTCTGTCCAATGAGAATTTACAGGAAGTTCCCTTCTACATATGAAGCTAAATTAACATTTACTAGTACATAGAGTTGAGCAAAGCAAGAGTTCCAATATACTTTCCATCCTCAACTATAATTTTGAAAAGGACACCCTTTCCACAAATAGAGCTTAACAAGGGAAGACATAAATTATAATTAATCCGTGAAATTATACTTTCAACGCAGACTCCGTTTAATTAGATATTTGAATAAACATGTCATTAGAAGTTTGATAGAACTGAAGAAGGACATATTTGAATTTGAATGTCTATGGTGATTCAGACATGTAGCAGGAATTCCTTTCCACATATGATTCTAACCAAAGTGAAACCGAAAAGTGTTCAGTGTTTTCGCTACAAACTATGCTACAAAGGTAGTTCATGGGACGGGGGTGAGCATATATATATATATATATACACATGTATACAAGGAGCTAATACATATATACATATACGTAGGGTTTGAAATTCTACATGCCCGGATTTGAGAGATGATTTCCGGACTACTCAGTCTACTCCCAAACGTAGAACAGGTGTCGCGTGTGAGGTAGCTTTCTTTCCGTTTTGTGCGAATTGTTTGGCTGGTTTGTGTCCTTTTGATGTTCGTCATGACATCGGAACAAGAGTTTGGTTATGCGGGCACAGACCCCCAGCAGTGAACCTTCTTGAGATATCTCAACCATTCTTGTTGCTTGGACTGAGAGACGCTGGACATTAATTCGCGCAGTCCTCGTTCGCTTGTGAACCAAAGTTGTTCGGTTCCAAACCGCCAGTTTGCGGTCTTGTTCCTACTGTTCTCTGTTGGTTTGGCCTCAGCAGGGCCCTATATATTGAGCCACACCCATGTCAGTGTACTGTTATAGTGAGATTTTAAACTACTGCTATAGTGGGACATTTTGGGTCTTAAAGCCGGCATCTTGTCCCATACTTGTGCTGACCCCTGACTAATCCCATCCCAATCAGGCGGTCCACCCGGAAGACGGGAATGACTGAAAAGGGAGGGGGGCCTTCAAAAAAGAAGAGGGGGGGGTCACTATCCAGTCGAAATTGCATGGATGCCTGAGTTTCTTCCTAAGATGTTTATGATAGCCCGGTTCTCCAAAACCCGAGGCGCGCATGGCGGTGCCTCTTGCCGTGGCCGGAGCCTTCCACACGGACTTCATGGCGCGGCCACCCGTTTTTCCGGTCGAAGCCTACGACTTCCGATCCCTCAAAAACATCGGGATCAAAAGCCAACATCCGGGGGACGGTTTACGACTTGTTCCACCTCCAAAAATGGTTTTCCCCCCAAAAATGGCGGAGGGCTGGAGGGTTAAAGGGAGGTCCAACTTTGGTCACCGGCTGGTTGGTTTCTTGTGGGTTTCACTTTGTGATTTTAGGAAGACGCGAAATTCAGCTTGCGCGCCCCCCATTCAAAACAAGTTTCCCCATGTTTTTCATGAACCTAATTCTAGGATTCGATCTGCGATGATATTCAACTTTGCCCATGAGACTGCATGCTGGGGGGGGCTCTTCGTGGGTTGAATTTTCTGAGGTAGTACGTGTCCTCCGACCACAGTGGATGGAATTTTAGACCAACCGCCACTAAGTTGGTCTTCCAGAAAAGGGGCTGTTAGTGGTCGAGGGGGTGTGATCCAACGTCGGACACCTTCAGGGAATCGCTTTCGTGTGGGGTGGGTTTGGAGTGAAACCAAATCACAGGAAGCCGAATTGGCCGCCTTGTGTGGGGGGGCGGGGGCACAGGCCTTGCCACGCGAGTGGCAAGACTCTCTGAAGGCACTAACTGCAAGATATTGATAAATTCAGGCCTGCCCCTATTCTAGTGAAGTCGCTGAAATTGTTTTGCACTTTGCGTTTGTCAAAGGTTGCTAAGTTGTTTAGATGCGCATCTCTACATATACAATCCATGGATTCCATCTGATCGCCCAGCTGCAAGGGTCATTGGGGACCCCATGTCAGGCACCAGCAGTGGAGAAGCTGAAGGAGGTGCTCGCGAGCTCGAAGCCCGGTTCGCGTTTTGGGATCTTCGACGCGGCGAATTTTCCGTGACGACCGTGTGTCCGGTATGTGTCAAATAGGGCGTCGGAACCCCAAGTTTTGCGGGTTTTCCGTTTGGTGTTTCTGTAACACCAGCCTGAAAAGGGCACCCTCGACAAAAACTATGTACCCGTTTGGCGGGTATTGACCCAGTCCTTCTCCGCAAAATGACATGGAACCCCAAGAAGGGGTCCAATTGCTAGGAGATTCCTCCACTGATGCTGGGCCTCTGGATTTTATTAATTTCATTTTAAATTGGAGGGGAGTAATCTGTGAGGTTTGCAGACCACGCGGGTCAAAGACAACTTTGGGTGACAGGGATGGTCATCAATAGCCACGGGCTTAAGGTCACTTAGCTCAGCTGCGCCGCCACGTATGGCGTGGCTGGCCCCACCAAGTAGGCACCACATCTGAGTGACCGCCATGGCTGTGCACATCCCATTATCCGAGCCGGACATCCCTCCTCCGGAGGGCTGGACACAGATGAGTTTTGACCTTCGCCGCGCTCTTCAGCTGTCTCAGCTTGGAGCGAATCATGGTGATCCTATCTGCCCGACATCTGTTATTGGACACAGCTTGGTCGAGATTTGGGATAGCTTCGTTGCGCCTTCCATGACTAGACCAAGTGCCGATGACCAGATACGATTGAACCTGGATGAAGCCTTGCGCACACCGGAAAACGTTTTTCCTGGGTTGTTTCGTGCTGGTCGTGTCAACCCAATCCCTTGCCCCACTGTTGGAAGGATTTGCCTTTTGCTGATCGGTAGGAACTTCACTTTTCAGTACGTGTCCAGTGGAAGTGAAGCCGTTGCCGCAGTTCATCAGAGGCTTTGGGAGCTCGGCCTATGCACCGAGCATGCCATCCTTATCATTCAGGGATGCGAGCTTTCTGGCTCCACGCCAATCAGCTCCATTGGCATTGGCTCCCACTGTGTCAGTGTGTGGGATCCGCCTCGACCTGTTGAGTCAACCTGTGATGGATTCGGTAAATGCACCATTGTTGCATTGCTCCGTGTTTCCCCTATTGGGCCACTAGTTGAACATGAGGGGAACATTGGTGTCTGGTTTGATGACCTCTTCTGGTACCCCAAGATTCTGTGTCGCCATTGGTGCTGGATTGCATATGCATCAAGCGAGTCCTGCCAAATTTGGCACGCCGGACAGCCAAGCCACAGTGAGCACCTTGCTGAGGAAATCAGACACATAGGATTCAGGCGTAGTCTTGAGTTTGCGTGTGACATTCAAGAGCAGCAGGTCAGTGTGGGCCGTGCCTTCCCGTTGTTCTCGCAATTGCCCAAGGGAACCACCCCAGCATCAGTGAAGTCCGAGCCAGTGTTCAGCTTGCAACATCCTTCTGTGCGCAGTATGCCGCTGGCCATCCTCCTGAGCCCCAGCTAGGAGGTGGTCTCCCTGCAAAAGCCACGAAGGAGCTTCAGAGCATTCTCACCCTCAAGGGGGTCCCTGAACATGCAATCAGTGACCGCATTCAAGGGTTGCTCCAGATTGCTTCCAACGCTCAAGTTGAAGCCGCTCTCAAGCAGACCACTGCCAAGCAAAGATGGTCACAGTTGTGTGAAGCCGCAGGTTCCACCTTCAGGCTAGTCACCAGTGATGAGATCAAAATGCAGAAGAGAGCGAAAAACGAGGCTCCAAAGCCCAACACTGCCATTGATCCGTTGCAGCACAATGACCCTTGGTTGCGCCCTCACCAGAACCACCAGCATGGAATTGACTCTTCAGGCCCCAAAGGCCTTGAAATTGACAATCTGCAGTGCCAAAGCGATGTGTTTGTAACCGAGCAGGGAACAGGGCTCGACTTCCTCACGCTGCCTCAGGTTGTATCAGATGCCACAGGAGTTTGCGTTGCCACGCTCAAGCAAGCTTCTCCCTTCATGCAAGGATCCAAGAACCTCTCGGCTTACCCGCTCGCCCTTTTTGTGCTTGAGGCAGAAGGTCAGGTTGTCACAGGTTTTCCCAAAGCCACGTGCAGCCTGCCCGCCAAGCTCAAAGATAGTGGTGGCAGCATCGTTTTGCTTGGAACATTAGTTCAAATAGGCGATGCCAAAGTTGTCAGGTTCACCTCTCCCAATGCTTGTCAGGTCATGCCACCAGCAAGTAGAGCCTTCCGGATTGTTGTGCATCGTGTGCATTACACCAGCCAAGAATGGAATAGCCCATCCAGTGCGCTCAGCCATCGCCGGGATTCCCACCCTCTCCACCCAGCACAAAATGCTTCTTGATTACTGGGGGCACAGAACCACAAGCTCTCAGATAACTTTCAAGATTCGCGTAAATGACCAGGTAGGGGACCAGGTCCGGAAGGACTCGGGTTGCAATCTCATCTTTGTCGATGACATCCCAGCTGAGAATAATCCCCGTCAGGGCTGGGTCGTAGTCTGGCTACCTGACCACTCGCATGATCAAGCCAAAGCCAAGGCTCAGACGCATCCGGTTCAGTGCGGCATCGTAGTCAAAAACCCAGGCAAAGCACAGATCTTCGGACTCAGAGTCCTCGCAAAGGACGCAGTCGAGCTACGCCTGTAGATCGTGCCTGAAGCCACCCAGGGCGACGGATACGTACCAATCGTAAGGCACTTCATTTTGCAACCCGTCCCTGCAGGTTGTGACCAGGACACGATTAGCCAGATCCTTGCTTCAGTCAAGTGGACTGCGCGGCCGCTCAAGCCTGTAGGTCGCCATGCATAGCGAGTAGGAGCTGCGGAAGCAGCAGCACCCTGGCGAAAAGCGCAGGTTTGACACAGGAAGGCAACCGGTTGTCATCCAGACAGGACCAGGTGTTGCCCAGCCGAGCGCAAATCCATCGCAAGCTGCTGTGCCCCGCATTTGTGATGTCGAACAGAGGTTCACTGACAAGCTTGCCGTTGTCGAGAAAGGTTTGAGGCCAAACTTGAGGCATTGACTGGGAAGGTCGCCGACTCAGCACAGAGTCACAAGCAGGACATTGATGCCCTGCGCCATGAAACCAGCCAGCACAGACAGGAGTTGATCAATATCAGCTCTGGCAATGCGGACATCAGCAAGCATCTCCTCAAGCTTACCAGTGCTTTTGAAGCCCAATCCAAGCAGCTCCAGGACCTCATCCAAGCCGGCTCTTCCGAGCAAGCGCACAAGGTTCGGGTTAAGTCGCAGTCCGAGACCTGACGGTGGCATCCTGGTCCGTACAGTGCCGGCGAATGTCGGCCCAGTAGTTTTCCACTAGCCGATGAATTTTGGTTTCTGATGTGTGTGACTCGATCCCTATGTCCGGGATTGGAGACTCCACCTTATTCCGGGGAATGGTGGATAGACCCTCAGTCAGGTAGTGACCTTTGGATCCAGTCATTTGTACTCATGCCAGACTCTCCTCAGCATTCCTTGCTTCCGAGGAGACTCAGTACCACATCAGTCTTGTAGATTCAGCTCAGAAATCCTGGGCCACACTAGCAGTACAATCACATGTGAGATCTCCTCTCAGTCATGATGAGGTATCCGCGTGGGATCAGCATTTTCACTCTGACCCCCCATTTCAGTTTTTCCGCTCCTGTAGCCTTGTTAAATCCGAGCACGTTCCCTGCGCCAAACATTGGATCGGCTCAGGACCGCATGGTCAACAAAGTGAGGCCAGACATCCTCTTTTTCCTCATGCCTTTGGGGAACGTGGGCCACATTGTCAACAAGCCTGTCGTGACAAGTCCCATTACTTGTCGCATCGAACAGTTTCCGTTGCTTGCCAGCAGCAAAACGCTTTTGATCGTGTGTTACAGCAGACACGCAATAAGAGGTTGCACAGTTTGCATGGGAATACGGAAAACAGTTTCATCCGAGTAGTCAACCCGACCTCGCTCCACGCCAACCTGGACGAGGTTCTTGCGCTTGGCAAAGGTACCACCTGCCTTGCTGAAACCGCTCACACAGAAGGCAAGGCGAGGGCCATAGCCACTACGGCAAGAGCCGGTGGTTCCCATAACGTTTTGGATCCACCTGTCCCATTTGTTAAGGGGGAGCAGCGCAGTTCTCCGATGCATGCTGGGGTAGGAGTACTTTCAACTTGCCCGATTTGGACCACACCTGGCCAGCCGCCATGGGCAAACACATACCGCACCCTTGACGTGATGATACAGCCTTGTGACCACATTCAGGTACGGGTTGTAACTTTCTATGGAGTCGCAGCTACTGCCTACAATCCCCATGCCCAGGAAACTACTTTGAAACTCCTTGAGAACCTCCTCGACAATTGGACCGCTCACCAAGGTCCTTTGGTGTTGGCAGGGGACTTCAACCTTGACCTCAGTAATGAGTCAATTGGCGAAAAGTTGTTTTCTGCGGGCTGGGTAGACTGTGCCCAACACTTCGCTGATAGAGAAGGTGGCACCGCTCCAAAAACATACAAAGGGGTAACTAGGATCGACCAGATTTGGGTGAACTCGGCTGCGCTGGCCTTTTTAGCCCGAGTAGAGACTCGTCTAGATGCCCCCTTGTCCGGCCATGCTCCTGTTGAATGCCAGTTTGCATGGCCAGCAGTACCTTCACCGGCTCGGGTTTGGCCCATCGCTCCCAGCATTGTTCAATGGGACTCTAAGGTCGACGCCAACTACACGTGGGACTTCCAAGGTCCGAATCACACTGAGGACCTTGGTAACCACAATCGTGTGGAGCAGCAGTTTGCCGCTTGGAGTGCAGCCGCAGAAAAATGGTTGCGCAATGCCTCTGGAGCCGCCCGCTCCACGCAACCCACTAAAGCCATTCACTGCGCAACTCGGCCCAAACCGATCACACCCATCACGCTCCCGCCTGTGAAATTGATGCAGTCGTTTCTTTTGCATGGCACAAAAAGCTTGTTGCCCAGCACCGTAGGCTTCACGCTTGGGACAACCTCGCCACAGCCGCGGACCATAGAACCGATTTTTCTCTTGATGAGCGCCTCCAGCTAATCAAGCTTGTGAAACGCATTAAGCAATGGCCTGGTAAAGGCATTTCTTTCTCGCAGTGGATGTCCAGCAAGGACCCGTGTGTTGACTACCAGTCCCTCCTTCAAGGAGAGGTCAATCACTCCAACCGCACTTTTCTCAAGCAGCGCTTTCTGGAGTTCAGCGCCAAAGAAATTCAGGCTGAAACTGCCGCGCAAAAACGAGCCACGACCCAAAAGTTCAATCAAGATTGGAAAGAGGGCGGTAGCCTCTCGTTCAAGGCAGTTAGGCCGCCACCTGTTCCTCCCATCCTAGCCATCGGCACGCCTGATGGCTGGGTTGCGGAGCCCAATGCCTTGGCAGAGCTCCTCCTTGGACCATGGGAAGCCATCTGGAACAGGCACCAAAATATTCCGGGTGATACATGGAACACAGTGCTTGACCAGGTCCTGCCTCTTCTTAGCTCCTCCCCTTTTGAACCTCCACCAATCGGTTGGAAGGAATGGAGGAGAGCAGTTAGGAAACTCGGTAAATTCACAGCGCCCGGATTGTGTGGATGGCAAGGGCAAGAACTTTGCCACCTTCCTGAATCCGTTGTGACCCCTCTCCTTGAACTTTTCAATCACACTGAGCGTACTGGCCTTGGGATGCCGCAGCAACTCCTCCATGCCTCAGTTGCTATGATCGCAAAGTGCCTTAACCCAAGCTCGTCAAATGATTGTAGACCCATCACTGTACTGTCGTGCGTCTACAGATGCTGGATGTCCGCAAGAGCGTCTTCCATGCAATCTTGGCTTGCCAAAATCATGCCAGCAGAAATGAGAGGGTTTCTGGCAGGGCGCCACCTTGATGACTTCCTTTACGGCCTCAGCCTAGACATAGAAGCAGCCCACCAGGGACTCGCCGGTCCTCTCTTAGGAATGTCCTTGGACATTACCAAGGCCTTCAACTACATTCCAAGAGAGGCTGCGTTCGCTATCCTCGGGCGTCTTGGGCTAGCCGATTGGTTGATCTCAGCCTGGCGTAGCAATTTGTCTCGCCTTCATAGACGGGCTAAGGTTTCAGGCACGCTCAGCAGGGCTGTGCTATCGTGCACTGGCTTCCCAGAAGGATGCCCCATGTCTCCCATTGCGATGTTGGCAATTGGCACAGTCTGGCACAGGGTGACCAGCTTGCCTTCGCCGCTACTCAAAGTTGATAGTTTTGCCGATAACTTCAACCTCAGTTGTGATAGCATTGCAAATTTGCTTCCTGGCCTAGAACGTGGGACCAAACTCCTCACAGCGTTGGATTTGCATATCAACGCCGCCAAGTGTGCGATTTGGTCGACTGACCCGAGCATACGCTCAGAACTTGACAAGTTTGAGTTCTGCCTCGGTAAGCCGTCTCATGTTTACGATGTCCGGGAACTCGGGGGCCACTTCAGTTTCACAAGGGCAGTCCGGAACAAAACTGTCCAAAAACGGGTGAACGAAGCCACAGCCACACTAGGTAGAATTGCTAGGCTGCCTGCGCCGTTTGCTCGTAAAGTTGGACTCACCCGTCGTGCCGCCCTGCCCAAGGCAATTTGGGGTCTCCAGTTGACCAGGCGAGGGAAAAAACGCATAGACAGCCTAACTGCAGCTGCCAAAACAGCTGTCGGCCTTGGCCATGCGGGTTCGTCCCCTTATGTTGCTCTAGCAGTAATTAATGAGGAGGACACTCACCCCGCCTTTGCCATTCACCGCCATAGGATTCACTCCTTCTGGAAATGGCTGCGCGGTCCAGAAAGCAGCAGGATGACCTCAGCCAAATGTGGGCTGCGCAGCTTGTCCAACCTGGTGACGGGCCTATCAGCCTGCTAGGCATTAGCCGCATGCGACCTTGATCTTGACCTTGATCTTAATCTTGTGACTCCGTTTGGACTGATTGAGCTAAGTACCAGCCCCTGGAGGACGGTCTACCGCTCACTCGTTTACGGATTTCATAGGGCCGAGGGTCTATACCTCTCGCACCGAAAAGTTTTAGGTCAAGTAGGAACAATTGATGCCCATCTTCTTAGAAAAGGACTTGCGAGCCTGACCGAGGAACACCAAGGTCTGGTTCGGGTAGCCGCTTCTGGCGCCAGATTCGAAAATGCCGAAATTGCCAGATATAATCCAAAATTCGATGAGAAATGCGCTCACTGCGGTTACCCGGACACGAGAGACCACCGCCTCACTGAGTGCCCAGCCACTGCAGAAGCAAGGGCAGATCATCTGCCCTTGCTCGCCAGATGGGACACAATATGTGAGCCGCTCAGGCTGCACCTGCTGCCTTCTCTTAGCCCCAAACTTGCCGAGTTTTGGACTACCATTCAGAATGTGCCAGACCCTGACTTTGTCCCTAGACCACCTGGACCACGACTCACGTGGTTCACGGACGGCAGTGGGCAAAATCCCACCTCCAGGTTTTGTCTTGTCTCTTTCGCTGGGGTCTGCGTTGAAGAAGGTTCCTGCTTGCCCACTAGTAGCTTCCAGGGGATTTTGCCAGGTCCCCTCCGAAGTGTCGACAGAGGTGAACTTTATGCGATAATAGGAGTTTTGCAGCGCTGTCACTCCTGTGACATCTTCACTGACTCCAAGCACGCCGCTGAGTATTTTCACCTGCTCCTCACGCAAGGATGGACTGATGACCTTGGCACTAGGCCCAACTCGGACTTACTTGCCCTTGCCCACAGAACGATAGGCTCCAGATCTGTCAACGAAGTAAATATCCAGTGGGTCAAAGCGCACAGGGATCTTGCCTCTGCCATCTCTGGATCAGACGCCTTTCGGATACGTGGCAATGCATTAGCTGACAGTGAGGCCAACGAAGCATATTACCTTTGGGACGAAGCCACCCGGCGACTCGCAATCCAGGGTGTCGCCGAGGAGTCCAGCAGACTCAAGGAGTGGAACGAGCTTGCTGACCTGCATGTCAAGGTTGCCAAAGTCTTTGCCCATAAAATTGACAGGCATAACGCTCCCAATACGGTTGATAACCTCGCCGAGACTGTTGGGAGCCCTGATTGATTGCGGTAACCTTCACTCCACCAAATCTGTTTTCCCTGCCGACTTTGTTTGGAGTTTTTGCACCCTCCTTTCAAAATTGCAATGGAACGATAGGCCTGCCCAAACTGGGAGTGGTACTCCTCTGATTTTTATAGGTCTCCTCTTCTTTTTGCATTCCGGCAGATCCATGCCCACACGTGACCATAACACTTGGTTCTGGACTAATAATAACGATCAAAGCATTAGGCGTCAGGCCAATACACTACTTATAGTAGTAAGGCTCCTTAGCGAATCGCTTGGCAGGGAAGTCATCCCCGGGTTCCTTAAATTCTTCAAGAAAATTAAGCCCGTCGCCCCACTTGACGCTGAGATCAAGTGGGCGGTCGTGCCCTTTTACTTAGAGAAAACTTCGTGGGACCAAGCCATACTTCTTGCTAGAGATCTGCAGGAGAGACACCCCCACTGGACCACCTGCGGTTTCCCCAGTGGCCGGGTCAGCTCTTGCATGCCTTTCAGGCCGACTCAACTGCTTCAGGCATCGCCAAAGGCGAAGTTTGCCGAGGCCACTTGGAGCCCGATTGCCATTCCCCCGCGAAGCGGAAACAACGTGCTCTCCCTGCTGCGGGGCGGTGGGCGGTGAGGCTGTTTCCTTCTTTGGGGTGTTTTGTTGTTTGGGGTTTGTCGGGGTGGTTGCTTTTCCCCCCTTTCTTTTGCGCAAGGCCACCGCCTCGGGCGGGCAGACACGGTGTACATTTCCATTTATGTGCAGCGGCAACAAGCCCTGTACACTCAAGGACGCAGGGATGGTCATCAATAAACTCCTGGAGGATTTCTCAGCACATGTCCTGTTTAAGAGGTGTTCTTCACTCTGACGGGGCACCACTCCCTCACCCACCAGGTTTATGAAGTTAAGGTCGACAATGAGTTTAAAAGCGACAGAAGGATGCAACTCATTCAACGCACTGACTGGAATGACTGGAAACACCTGCTCACACACATACACACAACAAATCATCCATTGGAGGATGAAGGGAAGTCCTTGTCATCTACAATAAAGTTGGCTTATTTGTGTGAACACTAAGTATTAGCTATGCCCAGACAATACGTTCAATACATACAATAAATGTTATACACAATCATTATTATACATACATGTATATGGTTGGTATAATACATATATATATATGGGGGTTGATCAAAAGGTCCTTGCAAAGAGTTATGTATTCGGTGACCATTTGTCTTGGCTGAAATCCCTCCGCGAAAGATCGGCGATGGAGTTCGCGAAAGAAACTTTTTTTTCGCGAAAGATTCCGCGTTGGATTCTTGGAGGTCTTCCTGTGCACTTACATATTTGCAGACCCCGCTCCCTTGTAGATAGGGAGATACGCAGCACCTACACTTGCATTATTGATTCCCTGCCTGTGTTGGGAATGGTGCAAATCAATAACGTTGGCTGGGCTATTTTGGAGCAAGTTTCGCGAAAGATCCGCGAAAGACCGGCGAAAGGCCAGGGAGCTTGTTGCAAGGTTCCGCACATCGCCGGCAAGCGCAAGTGGCAAGGGCGAATGACGGTGACTGCTTGCACTTGACACTACGTACTGCACACAAGTGAACTGCGGCCTCGTGTTTGCCAGCATAACTGCGGCGGCCACAATGGCTCCAGAGCGCACGCTGCAAACAAAAGGGCTTGGCGATGGAGTCGCGAAAGATTCGCGAAAGAACTTTGTTTCTCGCGAAGATGGCGTTTCCCGGAAACAGGAATATTGATCAACTGCCATATATATATATATGTGTGTATACACATGGTATATGTATATACACATATATCAATGTATTGCACATGCATTGCGATGTTCTTTTCCTGCAAGGTTCATCTTCCCTTCAGACAGAGGTCCTTCGAGGCGAAACATCTGCGCAAGGTGTGGACCTCCAGACACCTCGCATCCCCGTGGTGTCCAACGTGGACGCCAAGCCGGGCAGCCAAGTTTCGGACGGTCGGGACTGGAGGGAAGTATAGCGCCCTTGGCTGAGCCGGGGATTTGGGGGGCGAGATGAGATGGGAAGGAAGAGCTTTCTGGTGTCCACCAAGGGTGCCATGATTCAAGTCACCTTGCAGGAGAAAGAATTCAGAGTTGAGATATCCGGTTTCTGCGCCTTCGGTGATTTTTGGAGCCTGATCCATGGATTGATCCCTCAAGACGGTGTTGGGCCGTTGGGGATGCTACAAGGATTCGAGGTGACCAGCAGACAAGCTGGCACCTGAGGCCACACTCCGACCCTGAGATGATCAAGGCCTGCCAGTTGAAAGGATCTAAGTTAAGGGACATTGTGCCTTGAGAAGTGAACGGGATTCATGGCAGTGAGGAATGGTTGTGTTTTGCCTTGGCAAGAACTACGGAAGTGCTTGATGCTGGCCGGGCTTGAGGCATGCTTGCCGCAGGGGTCCCTTGATTGTGTTCCTTCACTTGCACTTGCGGAATTGAATGCTCGAAAGACGGTTTAGACGCCTTGGTGTATGCGGGATTGCTTCCTTGGGATGTTTGAGTACGTCGAAACGCATCTAACAAGGGTTCCCGCATTTTGAGTTGAGGAGGAAGCTTGTGTGATTGACCTCTTTGGGAGTGAATCAATCTTCCATCAGCATGAAGCTTGCAATCAGACACATTGCCAGTCATGCTGCTACACTTGGTGCTTCTTGAGAACAGGATTGCTCATGCTGAATGAGACTCAGCAAATCTGGGCAAATAGTAACCTCACGGCAAAGGCTTGCGACCTCACCTACTTCCTTTCATAGGTACCCTCCATGTTGGTGATTTCTTGGAATTCGCGCATCAAAACAACAGGTCACGTGGGTGGTGTTCTCCGGAATAAGATGGAATGGATCCCGGAAAATGTGGCTTCGGGGATTCCTTGCCAGGAGATCCTGGCAAAGCAGGTGACCGCCCCGGTGCGGCGGGACCCTTGGCCGAGCCCGGCTGCGAGGGATTCGGCCAAAACTTCACGGCTGTTCCATGGGAAGCACATTCGCACGTGGGAACCCTTAAAAAATCGGAGTCCGTTTGCATGTACCCTTCCTCCAACAACATAGCAGCTGTGGGAGGGTTCCTGGAAGATCAGTTTCCTCTCAAAGGAACTGTGTGCTACGCTAGTTGGATGCTATCATGAGGTGAGGTGTTTGCTTTGCATACTTCACATTATGAAACACAAGGCTGGTTCGCCGAATCCGCCGAAGCTGATCCCACCCTCAGATCTTGGCAATGCTCAGCTAGTTAGTGGATATACGGGCGTGGCCTACTGAGTCCTCAGTGGCTTCTATTGTGGGTTGGCTGGGCATCTTCCCGTGCAGCAGTCTTCAGTATCGGTGCGGCTGATGGGTATTTGCATTGCAGAGAGGCAAGCGTGCTGAATAGCTTGAGTCATGTTTCATTGCCCCCCATTCAGCTCTGATCAACGGACTCAAACGCAGCAGTATCCTCCCTCAAATTGGTTGGGATTTGAACCGAATTTACGTGTTGGGCTTCTTTTGGGAAGCAGAGGCGCCTGATATCTTCAAAAGGGCCCAATGATTTGTCCAAACGGGGGCTCAAAGGGCAAGTTGTAACCGTCATCTCCAATCGGTTGGCCTCGGCTGAGGTGGGAGACCCAAATGAAGGACGTCCAGCGTGCGCAGTTTGCTGTCGATTTGTTGACAGATTCTGGGGGGGTATCAAAGTCACAAGCTGAGCTTGTTTCCTTAAACCAGTTACTTGCTGACTTTGACAATAGCAGACAAATAACAAACATCACCTCAATAGAGACGTGACAGTCCATAAGCGAGGAGCGGAGAGTGGAGTTAGAGCCAAGGACATTCAAAACGCTCCACTTTCCTCAGGTCTAAAGACAAGAACCTTCCTTGTACAGGTGTTCCTGCAACTTTTCCTGTCCGGCCGGCTTCGACAAATGCTTTGAGCTAGGTGTGTCATGAATTCGGGCCCCCGAAGTGATCTTGGCTTCCACGGGTGCAACGCCTAGGATCCCCATCGCCTCGAAGCCGTCGCCGCGAGCCGCGAGCCGAAGCCGTTCCGAAAGGACCTGGTGGCCTCCGGCGGCTTCGAGCGGGGCTTCGAGTGCGGTCCTGGCAAGGCGAAGGGACGCGAAGGGATGCGACGGCAGGGAAGGGTTGATACGAAGTGCCTCCCAGCAAAGTACCACTCGATACCACTCGCCCCCCAAGCTGATTTTTGTTGGTGCTCACTGATAAATATCCCTCGTGGGCCGCTCACTCGTTTTTGTTGGACGATCAAGTATTGGCGAAAACAGATGGCTAGCTGCAGTAGGAGGAAGCTCGATTGATGAACTGTTTGAAGGATGACCCCTGAATGGAGCCTGAAGTCGCGCCGTGCTGCCAACGAACATGCAATCGGCTGGCACAAAGGAGCTTGTCAAAATAGTGCCCGTGCCCTGAGTGAAGGCAGGCCAACCTAGAACCAGACAATGTTGGAGCAAGCACCCAAAAATCACGAAATAGCTGGCCATTTGCCAAGCTGGCAATTTGCCAAAAATGGCCAGATGGACCAATTTTCTGAAAAGCAGTGGTCTTTGGAAGCATCTACCTGGATTCCTTCGTTGCCCAGTCTATATATAGATTGAGCTTAGGCCTCAGGGAGCCATGGACATATTCCCTTGAGGCTTGCGGAAGATGCTCAGCCGTCAGAACTCAGAAGGCCAACAGTGGGACCAAGTGGGTTCCGCTGCCGAGCTTGCAAGAAGCCATCCAAGAGAAGGACCTCAAATTATGAGATCACGTGTCAAAAACCCGGCATCCCTTGAAACGGCTTGGTTCCGGTTGCTTTCCTTGTTTTGCAGCCGCAAAGAGGTCCAACTAGTCTTGGCATCGTTCAGCCCAGCTGGATTTGTTCGCCTCGAGCGCGAAGGTGATCGCAGGCATCATGAAGCGCATCGACAAGCCACGCGGCAAGAAATTTCTTGGGCCGATCTTTGGATGGGCTGACGGGACTGGGCTGACGGGACTGGACTGTGGAACCTCTTTTTACAGTCGGTGAACCATGTCCCTCGGGCCCATGGGCGTCATTGGCATTTTCGCTGAGCGCATTTGCGAAACCTCGTGGAAGGTTGTCAGCATGGCAACGGTCCTGTTTGAGAAAGTCGAGGAAAGGGCGGCATGCCATGCGTGAAAGGCACGCTTTTTGGATTTGGGCAGAACCCCTGTTCACAGTACACACCAGGAGCTGGCTGGGGAGCTGGCTGGCCATGCCAAGGATCCAGGCAGGCTGTTCTTCACTTGAATATAGACACCAGCCAGTACACAGTTTGATGTCTTTGAGCTGGCAACTGCTCTTGCCATTTGCTCGATAACGGTCCTCGGAACAAGTGGGAATCATTTGCCCCCCTTCCCCCCTCCACCAAACAACTGACACGATTGACACGCTGGGCCCATTGATTTGACATTTGACTCCTTCTTTGCAACAGTCATTCCATGGGTCGATTCTTCGGCAGAATCACGGCTCACACTTCAACAGCAAGCAGCAAAGAAAGTGGTGAAGGGTCACGCGCGAAATGGGCCCCTGGCTCGGGAGCTCGCGTGAAGCCCTCGCGTGAAGCCGAGGGGTGCGGCGAAGAACATCACGGGCGTGCCCGTTTGAGCGGCGAGCTGTGGCGCGTGCCATTGAGACCCTTGATGCGACCAAATGGGGGTCCATTTGGGTTTGTCCTTGCGGGGGATTTGGACCAAAGCTCAAAATGGTTTTGGTTGTTCTGTTGGTTTTCCCTTACCACCCGAAACGGGTACCCTCAACAAAGACGCGCCCATTGAACAAAGCTGGGGAAATGACGTACACTTCTGGGGTGCTGATGTATTTCTTCTTTGTCAGTTTCGTTTTCTCCGGCATTCTCACGGGCCCGGCAGGCCCATCTATCCATTCAGCTAGGGGTTTGAGGCAGCGATGTGCTCTCATCAGCTGCTTGATGCGTTTTCAATCGCGGACTCGGAGTGCATTTGAACCTAGCTTTGCGAGGGCGAGCTCCAATTGACCTATGTGTGTTATAGTTAAGGACCCTTTCACAGGTGTCGCCAGGGATGGTCAGGCACCATGATAAGTATTTCGATTAGGGGAACCGGGGAACCACGAGTCAATGAGCATGGCCCACACAACGAGTTTTGACCAGCCACTTGGCAGGGACAGCAGAGGGTTGGGCTGTGGGCACCATGGCATGCGTGGTCGCCGAAGTGGGGCTTTGACTTGGGCAGCAAAGATGTCCTATGGTGTACATGGAAGCAGATCAGCAGGGGTGGGACAAGCAGGTGAGGGGTCCTGCTCCCAGCGCAACCACTAAGAACCATCACATGCAGGTCTGACGAGGTCTGAGACCTTCGTCCCGAGTGACATCGGCCCGAGTGACATCGGCCCCATCTGAAGCAGCTTGGGGCGTGGGTAGTCTATTGTGTGCCGGCATTGTGACATCCTGGAAATCTGATTGCTACACATGCGCAGCAAAGGGGTCGCGCGCTCCAGCAACGTGAAGTGGCTTGGCAACGAGGATGGCGCAGGGGCCGCCCGCCCACACTTGTCTCGCCATGACTGAGCTGAGAGGTCTGAGAAAGTAGGATTGCCCCGCGCCGTATGTGAGGCTTTTCTGTTGGCTGGCATTCACTCACTCTGGATCGTCGGATAACGCATGCCCTGCATGTCAAGATGAAGCAGCATATCGCCCGCTACTTCTTGCATGAAGAAGACACATGATGTATGATGGTGCCCAGGCTGATGATGTACATCCTGTCTCAGAGAAAGCGCAAAAGGCATTCCAGCGCTGAGCGGCTATGTGGTGCTCCGGCGCCCAGTAATGAACGCTGCTATCTGTAGCGACTACCATCTGTGTGGTGCAGCTCGGCACCTGGTTATGCGCGCAGCTCCCACGCTGAATTGGGCGCTACTGCCCGAGGGCGCTTACACGGGCGCCCGGCTGGCCGCCTGGGTCAGCTCCAACTTTGCCACCGCCACCAAAAGCGAGACCACAAACAGTCTGAGCGTCGGCAACCGGCTGATCCTGAACGACCTGGAGCTGCGCAGCAATTTCCTAACGCAGCGGACTACCCTGCTGCGCCGCCCGCCTCTCCGACCAAGCCCTTCAGCATGGACCACATGCTGGGCCCGAGCTTCGTCTCCGGCGGGCAGCAGGTCTTTGGGTTCGTCCGGATGATGGCGCACAACGAGGTCTACCTGCGCTGCGCCCAGCTGGCCAACATTAGGTTTCCTTGCGCTGCAACTAAAAGGCCTCGTCGCGGGAAGCGTCGAAACTAGGAGTAATTAGGAGTTTTGACCATACGTCGTTTCCACCATTCAGACCGACAGACAGACAGACAGAGAGAGAGAGAGAGAGCGTTGTTTGACGAAATCTCGTGTTCGACCTAGCAAGCAAGCTGCACGCAATCAAGCAAGCAAGCAAGCACCGCACTTTGACAGTTCAAGATTGATGTTTCGGACTTTGAACCTTGCTGGAGAAAAAGATGGGGTGATCTCCAGAGTCTGTGAATCGTAGGTGAAACGGTTCCTTTTTTCCGCTCTGTCCATGCGGGCAAGTGAACTTCGCTTCATGCCGGAAGTACGTTTGGCTCCAAATCACAGACACGCTAGTTTGGCACCCAGGAATGTCGCGGGATCACGAGAGAAGCCTTGTCCTCATGAAAGCCGACCCTTTCGTCGGCTTGTTCATCGCCTTGCTCGCACACAAACAATGACCACGCTAGACAAATGGGCCTTGTTTCTGGCCTTCAACAACGTGAGAGGAGGCCGTTGGTATGTTACATCAATCTGCACGAACCAGAGCGACCATTGGGTAAGGGATGGATGACGACAATTTCTTTGACGGGATCCCTGGGCTGCGGTGAAACATCATCGTCCCTTGGCTGCCATGGTCTGATCTTATGCCCGTTTAACAGACTGATGCTGATCTTCTTGCAGCATAAAACAGTTTTTCCGTCTTCGGAACAAGTTGGGACTCGTCGTTCACGCGATCTGGAAAGCAACCTGATATTTCACTTGCGCTCGCGTGGCAGATTTTCCTTTCAGCCAACTCCAGCCAGAGCGTGTAGTGTGCTGATCCTGCATGCTGCAGGATGCGCAGTCGCTGCAGCAGCGGCTTAAAAGACTGTGCGAGGCGTCAAATCGTGCTTGCGTAGGCGTAGTGCAAATGCAAGCCCCAACGACAACAAATATGTTTTCAGTCATCTATGTAATTTAAGAGTTTAGGGGAAGGTTCACCCATCCACGACAATGCACAAGCAGTCTGGCCTTTGATCCGATGATTGCACTCCTCGGCCAAAACAAATGAAGACCCGAAGTGAAAAACCCGATCCTTAAAGACAATTTATGTGCTGTACACTTCGTCAGCGGAGATTCGTAACCTCTTTGAAGGAATTCCTTCATAAGTGTTGGGTCGCGGCAACTGTTTGTTGGATTCGAAGCACGAGCATCGCCTTATTCGCCTGCTCAGCGATGCAAGTACCAATTCACACATCGTTCAGGCTCTTGCTGCCACCAAAGCCAGAGTCTAATTCTGCTTGCTACCTGTTGGCCAAGGCTTTACAAGGGCTTTGTTTGCTTCCTCTTGATTGTTTGGCCAGATCCTTGGGACATAGTGTTTCCAACTTGGGTGACTGCTCTCCATGGCATGCTCACGCAAACCCAACGGACACTGACCTGCGAAGTCTTCATAATACGCGTGTGTCTTCTTAAATTGAGGGGACCCCTCAAACAATGCACAGACCCATATTTCACTTGTTTGCTTGCGCAGACTGGGCAGATAGTAGCGCTTTCCCCACATTACAAAGAAGGATTCGGATTCCCCCCCTTGTGATCAGCCCAAAAAGATTGTGAACTCAGTAAAGTTGGGCTGCACGCATGAGAATCTCCACAGAGATGGTCATGAAAGCATTAATCATTTGCGGTTGTTTTCGCTGTGCCAAAGGCAGTTGGCGGAAGCTTCCGAAATGGTTGGTTTCATGTGGGATCACTTTTCTTGGCGGGAAGCAAGTCATGATTTTGAATGTCGCGCCCCAACTCAGTTTCACCCGCTCGCTGTCATGTCTTGCCTTTTCATGACCGAGAGACATTCGTGGCAATTGGTGGGTTTGACCAATATTATCTTGACCCTGCCTGCACACTGGCCAATTTGTTTGACAACCTGACCGTTGGCTCGAGAAGAGATGAGGTGAATGATATCCTTTCGCTTTGCCTCGCCCAAGGACCGGATGCCAATGCAGAGTTGGCCCGTTCTGCATGTTGCCATCTAAGCTTTTTGCCCAGAAACAGTCAAAGCATAGCCAGGAGCGCTCGTTCTAGCGAATTTGTGCGGAGGTGTCGATCAGGTTCCTCTGCGAGTCCCTTCTCTGTAGCCAAAGCTCAGAGGTATAAAGCTGAAGCCAAAACTGACCGAGCTGTCATGAAAGGATCACTATATGGCTGCAAAGATTTACAGAAGCCAGAGGATCAAGGCGTCCATTTTGGTTGACAAGGTCATAATTCTTGTCCACTCATGTTTAGTATAAGCAACAAATGTCAAGCAGTCAACAGTATAATGCGCCACTTCAAGCACTCTACATTTAATCAGGTCTGTGAGGTCTAATTCACCAAGTGCCACCTGGCAAAACAAACCGTCTAGGCGAAGCTCCCTTGCGAGTTGATGTCGTTGGATAAATCTCAATGGTTGGGTCGTTTGCTTAAGGGCCAAGTTCGAATAGATTGTTTGCGGGAGAAGGGCTTTATGAGTGGGATGCTTGCAGCAAATTGGGAGGTCAGTGGGGTCAGAATCAGGCCCTTGCCCGAGTGATTTTCCAAGAGGTATTGGTTCGTATCGCTTTTGTAGCAGCTTGGTATATGTTGGCCTGGCTTAATTCTGCTTTACAGTTTTACAATTGGTTCACTTGTCTTGGGATATCTTGCCTTATCTTGTCCACAATGAATAAACATCTCGTTTACCTCCTGTTGTTCTGTATTCCCCTACTCTTTGTCCTGTTCAGGCCGGGATTTTGTTTGCAACCCTCCCCCTCATGTACTGGTCGCCATCCAACATCCTGATCCTGACCTGGCAGAATGCTGCTTCGTACGCCTGACTGTTGCCCGTTTTCTTGACGAAACGACTTGGCCCTGTGGCTCAATGCTTGAACACGCACCTGGGCCCTGTGGTTCTTGGTGGTTTTGGGGTTGTTGGGGGGGCCTTGTTCTGCACCGCACGGTGTGGCACGGCCTCCTGCACCGCTAGCCTTGTGCTCCCGTGCGTGGTGTACTTCCGCCCCACAGCGTGGCACGGTCTCCTGCGCTGCTGGCCTTGTGCGGTGTGGCACGGCCTCCCGCACTGCTTGCCTTGTGCCCCCATGAAGTGCTGCCACTGGCCCTCCTCCGGCACCTGGCACACCGCCGCCCGCACGGTTTTTGCTTTGCTTTGCATGGAGTTTATCTTGCTTCTTGGCTGCATTAGGGCCATACTCCAACTCCAACCAACTCTTGGCCATCGCAGTAAGGGCGAACTGGATTTGTTGCCTGATCTTCCGTTGACAATCATCTGCTGAGATCGTGGTTGTAAAATGGCTGCTTCAGTACTACTTGCTTAATATGCAAGTAGTGCTGCAGCAGGTAAACGTGTCAGGCTAGGTTGTCAGGGCTTTTGGCGAGGCTTGAGACTGACTTGAGCTCGACTTCCCTTCTGTCCACGCCAGGATGAGAAG